GACTCAGACACACACACACACACACACACACACACTCACTCTGTGCTCCTTCTGTCTGTCCTGCAGTATTAAAGAAGCTGTGATTCACATCAACTCCATCGACAGCAGCAAGTTCTCCAGACTTCTGTCCCGGATTCTGCAGAAGCTCCACCTGAAGGTTTGAGTGTGTGTGTGTGTGTGTGTGTGTGAGTCTGTGTGTGTGTGTAGTGTGAGTGAGTGTGTGTGAGTGAGTGAGTGAGTGAGTGAGTCTGTGTGTGTGTGTGTGTGTGTGTGTGTGTGTGTGTGTGTGTGTGTGTGATTCTGTTAAATGAAAACAGAAAATCTTAATAAATACTATAATAGTAATAGTAAATATAATATAATAGTAAAATAATACTAAAATGACACTGATTCCCTGAAATTTGATCTGTGTTCTTGACAGGTTTGTGATATTCACATGATTTGGATGCAGTGTAAACCGAAAGACTCTCATTTGTTTGCTTTCCATTTTAACGAATCCTTCCTAGAGCAGTCCTTTTCATCTTTTTGTTTCTGTTTTTGAGGCTGTGTGTGAAATGAGGCACGCGTCTGAATCTGCACTTCAAGCTCTTTGAATATGAATAGCGCATGCACTCAAGCAGTTCTAGAACAAACAGCACGTAATAAGAATAAATTGACCCATTCAGAGCGTCTCTGACTTCACTGACTAATGTGGCATCGTGAGGGAAGTGCGTAACCTCACCGTTCTGAATAAAGAAAAACTAGCGCACATAATTACTCGGCCCTGGACCTTCTGCATAGTTTGTCTTTTATAAATCATCATAATGACCTTGACCCTTTCTATAGGCCGCTGCCCTCTGCGATTCACAGCCAGCCGATAAAGCAAGAGCTGAAAAATCTGATTTACTGCCTGATTAATCTGTCATGTTAATAACAAGGCCTGCCTTGGTCATTTTTTACATCTTTAACGATCATTTTTTAATTGTTAATGTCCTTATCGGATGAAGAACAAAGAATATAAATTTTTAAATCAGTGTGTGTGTGTGCGCGCGTGTGTGTGTGTGTGTGTGTGCGTGCGTGCGTGCGTACGTGCGTGCGTGCGTGCGTTTGTGTGTGTGTGTGTGTGTGCGTGCGTGCGTGCGTGCGTGCGTGTGTGTGATGCTGATGCTCTGTGTTACTCAGGAGGAGCGTTCCTTCAGTGAGGAGGAGGAGGAGAAGCTGCAGAGCGCTTTATCTCTGGAGAAACACACTCTTCATCTGCTGGTGGAAACCCTGTCCTTCATCCTCGAGCAGGTCCAGCACTTCACCTTTACCTGCTGCTGTCAATCATGTTGTTCGTTCACACACAATCCCTACACCGTGGTATAAACATGCTATTTTCAGATTTCAAGCGCTTTACCACGTTCACTCTCGTCTCGCTTCCTTCAGGGTTCGTGAAAGAGCTTGATGTACTTGATTTAGACCTTTTGAAATCTAAGTACTGGAAAACTGCCCATATGCAAATGTAGTATATTCCCATATCCATATATGAAATATATTGTCATATTAAGTTATAACATATATGAAACCTATTAGAAATTGGAACAATATCATATATGAACATATACGTATATCTGGCCCATACAGATATATAAGAAAATATAAAAGAACATTTATTACAAAAACATATACAAACATAAATATTTATATGTTTTAATAAAGCTGCATATATAAATAAAATATATATTGTTGACATATATGGTTGCTACACATAATACCGTATAAAAATCATCATAAAAATATTAATAACATATGTACATATGCAAATTTTACTGTGTGGATTTTATATATTTGTTATAAACTGATATCTTCATCTACCCAGAGAATGTACATATGTGAACATACATGGCAATATCACTGTTAATACAGGGCAGATGTGTCGTATATTACAAAACCCTGCTGACGTATGACCTTCGGCTATAGCGTCTTTGAATACGATTTTTACTTATTTAGTTTGAATAGGTTTATTTAGATTACAAGAAAGGCCCCGTGTCTGCATTAAGTGTGAACACTGATCAGAAGATGTGAAGCAGAGGTTCTCTGTGCTGTTGCAGGCCGTGTATCACAACATCAGAGCAGCGGCTCTCCGACAGCAGCTGGAGAACATCAGTGTTGAGTCGGAGAAAGCTGAGGTGTTCAGTCAGGTCTGGGCTTCAGCTGCTCCAGATGTGCTGGAGAAGATCCGACTCGCCATATTCGCCCCTAAGAAGGTGAGTTCATGCAGAGTTCTGGATGTTTGCGTGAATCTGAGGTCTGACCCATATCTCTGCCCAATCAGACCAGATCCTTCTTTCAGAACCAGGCTCGGTTTCCCAAAGAAGCTTTCAGGGAGTAGTTTCCTAAAAGAAACAATGTTATAAAGCGGAGAGTTCCGGACCGACTCGCCATATTCGCCCCTAAGAAGGTGAGTTCATGCAGAGTTCTGGATGTTTGCGTGAATCTGAGGTCTGACCCATATCTCTGCCCAATCAGACCAGATCCTTCTTTCAGAACCAGGCTCGGTTTCCCAAAGAAGCTTTCAGGGAGTAGTTTCCTAAAAGAAACAATGTTATAAAGCGGAGAGTTCCGGTGCTTGATTCTGATTGGCTGAGCCGTGTTCGAAGCTGTTGTAAATGACGCTACAAAGTAACACACACCTTTGTTTACGTTTGTGTGTTGCTCGGCAACCACTTTGTAGCAA